CTTATCGTATCACCCGATATACTTGAACAGTCAAGCCTTGTGGCCCACACGCCATTTCTATGGTTCCCGGTGAGATACTAATATCGAGATGGAGCCCGTTTGCCATGCTGGTCTTCTTATCTGTCGACGTCGCAGGGCATCACGTCATTTTCATGTTTCAGACTCTTTTTTTCTGCTGCCTTTTCTCGAGTACAGCTTGAATAGGAGGAGACTGGCATTTTAATTGAGATACCCATATTGTTGTGTTGTCCCGTCTCTGTCTCATTCCTTTGAATCTCTTTTCTCCCGCAGTCTTTATCACATTCCGCACAGCCATGGTCGCATCCACCCTGTCCACCTCTTTCCCTCAGTCGTCTTCCGCAATAGCAGTCATTGTGCCTACCAAGCCCACTGCTTTGACTGTCTCCTTTGAGCAACTGGCACAGGATGTGTTGGCTTTTCAGAAACAACTTGCTCATCTAGGTATCCGACATGCCGACGCCGTCTCAATAGCCTTGCCCAACAGCTACGAATTTATCGTTTCTTTTCTTGCAACCTCTTTCCAGCGAGCAATTGCGGCCCCTCTGAATCCTGCCTACAAGCAAAGCGAGTTCGAATTCTACATCGACGATCTTTCTTCAGCCGTGATTATATTGCCTCGAGGAGCACATGCCCGGGACGGACCTGCTGTGAAAGCGGCCAGGAAACATCGTGCTGCCATTGCAGAATGCTACGTGGATGGAACGAAGTTGGTCTTGGATGTGAAAGAGCAGGGCTGCCTGGCACAAAGACAATCTCAACCAGTCGCTGAGGCTCAACCAGAAGATGTCGCACTCGTTCTGCACACTAGTGGGACCACCGGGCGCCCGAAGGCTGTTCCCTTGACCCATCGCAATCTGACAAGAACAATGCAGAACATTCAAAACACCTACGAGCTTACTGCTCAGGATCGGACGATGTTGGTTATGCCACTCTTTCATGTGCACGGTCTGTTGGCTGGGTTTCTGTCTCCCCTGAGCGCTGGGGGATCTGCTATTGTTCCGGATCATTTTTCTGCACGATCTTTCTGGGCCGACTTTATTCAACACAAAGCCAACTGGTATACAGCCGTGCCGACGATTCATCAAATTCTGTTGAAGAACCCTGCACCTAACCCGATACCCAAGATCAGATTCATCCGCTCGTGTTCATCGGCACTGTCCCCGAAAACATTTATGGAACTTGAACGGACATATCAAGCACCAGTTCTTGAAGCCTATGCCATGACAGAAGCAGCTCACCAGATGTGTTCGAACCAGCTCCCACATCGCGGAAAACGAAAGCCCGGCAGTGTGGGAATTGGCCAGGGAGTCGAAGTCAAGATTCTCGACGAGCAAGGTGATGAAGTCCCACGGGGCCGGGAAGCCGAAATCTGTGTAAGGGGAGAGAATGTCACGAAAGGATACATCAATAATGAAAAGGCTACCAAAGAAGCATTCACCAAGGGGGGATTCTTCCGCACAGGAGATCAGGGCAAGATGGATGAAGATGGCTACGTCTTCATCACCGGCAGGATCAAAGAGCTGATCAACAGAGGGGGGGAGAAGATCAGCCCGATCGAGCTGGATCATGTGATCATTGCCAATCCCGACGTGGCAGACGGTGTCACTTTTGCTATTCCTTCAGAATTATACGGCCAAGAAGTGGGAGTGGCAGTTGTTCCTAAGCCTGGGAAGACGGTGACTGAGAAGGGCATTACTGATTACGTTGCCAGCAAGACGGCCAAGTTCAAGAAGCCGAGCAGGGTATGTGCATTCTATCTGGCAGGTGCATCTTAGTGCCGCGCTGACTGAGATGACAGGTTTGGATCTTGAAAGAGATTCCCAAGACAGCCACGGGAAAGATACAACGAAGGAAGGTTGCAGATACTCTTCTGGCCAAAGACCAGCCTAGAGCGATGCTATAGAAGGATTGTTCGGGTCCGACCGGAGGCGTTGATGCCTGACAGTACAGGAAGAGACATGGATATCCAGCATGGCGTTTTCAAAAAAGAGGAGAAAGACAATCATGAGCGGCTAGAGTCAACCATGTGGGAGTCGAGGGCGTGTAGCACGCCTCCTAAGAATTTTCGTAGACCGATACCATGATGGGTGAATGTTTTCGCGAATTGCCTGGAAAGGGGCTGACAACTGAGGGACTGGGGAAATGCGAGATGAAGCTGCACCTCGGTCTTGGACATCCGGAGCACTGGATGTCAGGGTATCTCTCGAAGGGTACAGTTCCGATGCAAGATGAGTCGAGGCAGTCAACTGAAGCATGGGAGGAGCTAGACCTCGCACAAAGATAGAGATAGAGCTTGAGAAGGCTGAAGGTTCCTGCTCCCCACAAATTGGCGACGCCCTAAGAACATGTTCACATCCCCACTTCGCGCCCTGCGCTGTGGAGAAGAGTTCGACCGGCATTCAATCCTGGACAGCGATAATTGCCCCGGCTGTCCTCAGTTTCGCAGCGTGTGGTGCTAGGTCATACAATATTTGATTCCGTATCAACCAGTATCCTGACTCGGGAGCTTCATGTCGAAACTGCTTCGTGGTTACCGTCAGCTGCACTCTCTGAGAAGTGTTCACACAACACCCTCCCAATTCCCGCAAATAACTCGACCTCTACATCTGGGTCCATTAATTGCTCCGCGACACCTCCGATCTGTCAGAGCCATGTCTTCCTCGGCGATCCCTACGAACGAATGGCTGGTCATCGTTCCCGATCACCCTAACGCCCTTGACAAGCGACTCGCGGTCCGCCCGCAGCATCTTTCAGCGTTGACACCTAAGATCGAGGCGGGGATTGTGGTCTTTGGCGGTGCGACTCTTTCGAAACACCCCGCTGAGGGAGAAACTCCAGATATGACTGGCAGTGCCATGTTGATAAAGGCAAATACCGAGCAAGAAGTCAAGGAATTCTTGGAAAACGATGCGTACACAAAGGGAGGAGCGTGGGATGTGAGCAAGGCACAGATATTCCCGTTCAGGTGTGCCGTGCGGACGGCCATGTGAAGATACAGCTTTAGACGAGGGTCTAGCAATGGAATTGCCATTGGGACTGCGATGAATGATCAAGAACGAAGCCACAAAGCTTGAATGACTCGGCAGGAATGTGCCCATGAACGCTGCTGTATCGACCAGTACTACATTGGACAAACCCTATGGGCCTCGTTGTCAAACCTCTCCAACACTTTCCCTCTCTCCCTCAGTTGCAGCTTGAATGATGAGTGATGTGCACAGGCAACCGGACCGAGTTGTGTGACTTGAGAGCGGCATCTCTCACACACTACCGTTGATCTGTCACTTGCATCTCCTTGCTATATTACTTCTTGCTCACAAGTCCATGGTGATATTCGTTCAGTCCGACTGGGATGCATGTCATGATTGCTACATGGGTGATTCCCCGATATTTCCATGGGACAAATGGTATTTGGAGTGACATTTGCAGGTTGCCTGCGCACCAGATTCCTGCCGGTTGCTGGGTCAAACGCCTCTTCACTTTGTTCCCGTCTCACTTCAGCTCCGTATCAACCCAACCCTGTGACCAGAGACCATAAAGACGCGATTCCTCTCCCGTCTTTTCCACGATCATCTATCCATCCATCCTCGCAATTCTTGCCACGTCCTCTGCCGTCAACACTCGCATCTCGAAAGCTTCGAGCTAACCTTGCTGCAGTGATTCATCAAAGACACCCGCAGTCAACACACTTCTTTACCACTGCTCTCAGCCTCGTGCGATCCAACATGATGGATCTCTTCAACATGCTCTTCCCCTTCTTCATCCTCGTCCTTTCTGTTATTGCACAAGAGATGGGCAACATCACCGACGCCCCAGTCACTCAAAACAACCCCTCCCGCGCAACCTTCCAAGCGATCCTGCAAGTCGGGAAACCTGTACAAGGACAGATCACCGGGGTTTCTAGCGACAACGGCACTGGTGTCAATTTCAATGTCAACTTCTTTGACTTTCCAGATATCTCGCAGGGCCCTTTCAGTGAGTTCTCATAGAGCGTGACTTTGCAATCCCAAGTTCCTCTGCGTTGAAGACGACGACTAAAACCTTCCATTCAGAATACCACATCCACCAATACCCCGTGCCTGCGTCAGGAAACTGCACCGCCACCGGTGGCCACCTCTCGCCCTTTGGCAGACAGGACGACCCTCCCTGCGATGCCACCGCCCCGTGGACCTGCCAGCCCGGCGACCTCTCTGGCAAGCACGGCAATATCTCCCAACTGACCTCCTCCACCTCCGGTGACTCTCAGGCCGTCGGCACCTTCCAAGCCATGTACCTCGACCTGTACGTGAGCACCGACCCCAGCAACGTGGCGTTCTTCGGGAATCGCAGTGTGGTCGTGCACAACGCGAACGGGACGAGGTTGAATTGCGGCAATTTCACACAGATGAGCTCCGGTTCGAGTGGCGGCGGGAATAACAATGGGACCAATACTACGGTGCCGACAACTTTGCCCACGAACAACGTTGCGGCTGGGGCGGTTCGTGCGGTGAAGTGGGAATTGGCGACTGCCACGGTGTTTGCGATCGGTGTGTGTCTTGTCTCCTTGATGGGTGGCTTGATTTGAGGGCAACAGACAAGAGAAACAGCCAAGGCCGGAATTGTACTCCACTAATTCCTCGACACTTTACAGTATTCATGGTGATGATCGAGGGCGGACAGTCCAATGTATGCAGGTCTCAGGGATGTCATCGAGCGGAGATTTTCTAATCAGGGATCAAAGGGAATACCCGAGTTCGGCCATCGTGTAGTCCTTTAATGCAATGGTGATGATGGCGTTAGTAGATTCTCTAGCCAGGTATGGTGTGTATCATGGCAAAACGGCAAACTTCGTCTGAGCATCAGCAATGTGATTGAGTAGCCAGTCCTTTAGTTATTCTCGTAGCACATCCTTCATCCCGCCGTCTATCTATCGCGGTGATTGTGATGGTTATCCTAACCTTCTCATAACATGTTGATAACGAGCGCACCAATTTTCCGGGCAGTCAACTCAACCTCTTCAAGAACCCGCCTTGGATCAGCCTCTCCACGTCAGCCTGGCGGACGAAGAACTGCGAGTTCTTTGTCAGATTGATGGCGCCGTACTCTGTCTGGATCTCGCCGGCATCTCTCAGAACTCTGACGTCGATGAACAGGTCGCGCGGCGGCTCGAGCGAGCCCGTCAGGTCAATGTCCGTCCACTGGCCCTTGTACTGGGAGAGCAGGTCGCCGTAGGCGTGGAAGTAGGACGACTCCTCTGGCGAGAGGGCGTTGTGCGTCCCCGCCGCGGAAGCAGCAGCATTGTCCTCGCGAACATTCGCGGCTGCGTTGGACGCATTGCCACCACCGGCTTCGTGGCCCGCCCCGACCTCGAGGTCCTGGCCCTCCCAGACCATGCCTTCCAACTTCTCGGCCCGCACGCGGTGGTACGCCAGGAGACACCTCTTGTCGCGCCGCATGCTCAGGTGGTCGACGAGCAGCGCGCACGCCGTCGCGGGGTGTTCGGCCGGCGTGAAGGTGCTCTGCGACGACGGGTTGCCGTCCTCGTCGTACTCGGTCGTGGTGAACGGTTCCAGGATCCGCGTCACGTCGCGGTCCAGGTCGCGCACTTCGCGGACCACGGAGCGGACGAGTTCGGTCTGGTAGGGGGGCAGGGCGGGGAGGGTGAGTGTGCGTTTCGCGTGTTGCACCTGTCAGAGAAGAGGGTTAGTTTTGGACTTGCTAGATAGAGAATGGGAATGGGTGGTCCGACATGAAGAGCAGGGAAGGAGGCATGATTGAGCGAAAGTGAATGGGCGGACAAGAAACAACTTACGAGCTTGTTCCCAAGCTCTCCATGCATTTGGGAATTACATAGAGTGATCTTTCCTTACAACAAAGCACCGAGAAGACCTCGAGTGAGTCGTCAGCGACAGGCGACAGGCGACAGGCGACCGGACAAGAATATCGAGTTAATCATGTACCAATTTTGTAGCCCGTATGGATGGCGTAGTCAATACAGAATTCGAGCGCGGGGAAGAAATGTGGCCCCGCGAATGAACGCGTCAAGGGTCAATTGAGGGTAAAGGGGCGATTCCGCCAATCAGGTCCAACCACCTCTCGGAGCGGATTCTTGGTCGTCCCCTTTTTTCTGCCAGCCTTGTCGTTGCAGGATCGCTTGACCTCATCCCTTAGGTCTCATCTCCCTCAATCGCTTGCACGTGAATTTTGGGCGGAACATGCTCAGTGAGGTAGTTCAACAACATCGTCATGTGAATACGACACGGGAATACGAGATGAAGAGGGAGGAAGAAACCCAGAACGCCGATGACGAATCCTCGAGGGCATATCGATATGAAACCCCAAAGCGAGTTTGTGAAACGAACTTCCTTGAACGAAACTCAAGGTATTCCTCGACACGGGAACCGGGGAGAACATTCGAGACAAAACCACTCGACTCGAGCTGAACGAGATACCAGGCGGAACGTGCCCGGAAGTCAATCGTCCATTTTCGTCTGCTCAAGTCCTGCTTCCCTGACCACCTCTACAGAGTGGTAAGTGATGGAATGAGTTCCAGGCGAAGTCGGAGTATATCCTCCTCACTAAAACTGTCCTCGGAGGCTACTTTGATATCAACGCATCCTTCACTGCAGGATGCAAATGACGGCCACTGGATCTCGTATCAGCATGGCCTTTGACGAGGGTTCTTTCTCCAAGATCAAGTCAACAGAGCACGGAAGATCGAAAGGACAGGCACCGAGGGCTCGTCAGGAGCAACAGTCCACGGGGGGCCATCTCCGTCACCGCATGAACCGGGGTCTGGGTCTTTTTGTTGTGTGAGACCCATGCGCATTTCACTGGCACAGTCATAATGCAAATACAATAACAATAACAAAGTGAAAATCACGTCTCGGAAATGCTTCTCTATCAGGCTGTGCTTTGAATAGAGGGCACACAATGAAGAAAAAAACAATAGTGCGGCAGAACAGCCGAACCGGTCGCGTGAGAAGAACAATTCATACCGGACCGTGAATAGGATTCTCGTGAATAGCAGATATTCGCGCCAAGTGTGAACGAGTCACTTTTCCTGTATTTAATGTTGCGGCCAGGCAGTCACTCAACCAAGCGTTTGTCTCTTTCTTTCTTCCCATTCAGCAAACGCAAAGGCAAACGGCGCCTCGCAAACATGAGGCAGCGTCCACAAAACCCGCCAACGCCCACCAACGCCTTCTTCCGTCCCATCTTCGACCAGCGCCACCGGGTCGAGCGGCGGGGGCTTTGGTCAAAACCGGTGCGGCGGCGACCCGGTGGCGCCGGGTACATGGTTCCCAGGTGGGGGAACGTCGAACAACGCCCACCACCAAAGCCGCGCCAACATTTCCACTGGAGCACCTCTCCACCACCAACATGGTCGCCAACGTACTGGGAAGCGCTGCCCGCTCTGTGGATCTTAGTCAAGGACATGTACGCAATCACTGTGGCCTTGTTAGAGTTCAACGACGCTCTCAGACGTTTGTTGAATCTCCACGGAGAACGGTGGAAACGGCTGGATGGGGATAAGCTCGCAAGAACCCTGGCGATATCCCTGGATATCTGGTCCTCGTTGGCGCCCAAGAGACTCCTAGGATTCGCCACGCCAGAGAAATTTTTCAAAAACGCAACAATAAATAAATATCCAGAAGTCGTCCGCAAGCTTGCGAGGGCCGAAGCCCAGGTCGTGCTGACAATGGCGCGCCTGGCAACGGTCGAAGAGTGTGTGTGGTCAGGAGACGCTCTGCTCTTAATAGCACTGGACATTTCGGGACCCTTGGTGTCGGAAGCTCGCAGACAAAGATCACACCCCGACTTTCCCTGGTTCACCGAGCTCGAGGCACAGCATCGCGGGTTTCTCGCGTTTCGTGCACGCGCCAGGAGGCGGCTATTCGACACCATCAAGAAACTCTTGACCCCAAGGTTAAGGGCCCTGGACTACCGAAGGGATTTTTTCTACTCGGACCTTGAAGCAAAGTTCCTCGAAGCACGCGAAACCGTTTCTTCGTGGACACCTGGTCTTTCGAAAGTGGCCGAACACCTTTCTGCCCGCTTGCTCGCCCAACCCACCGTCGACCGCGAGGGAGAGATCTGTCCGATATGTCATGAAAGCTTGAGCAAAGATCCAAACGCAGAAGACGGGCAGGAAGGAATGAGACAGCTACCGATATGCACGGAAAGATGCTGCAATCAGCCCTACCACGTCTGCTGCCTCCTTGAGTGGTTGGAACAGGATCTCCATGTACCCTTCGTGTTCGGATCGTGCCCAACCTGTCGAGCTCATTTGAGCTACAACTTTGCGGTTGGTCTCATGGAAAGATCTATTGTGGAGCTGGGAACATTGTGAGGGACACAGGCGAGATTGTTGGTGCTGTGGTAGGATGGATCTGTCAGAGAGCTGAGCATGGATAGGGTTGAAAGGAAAATCATGACTGTGGTCGTGGCAAAGAAGAGACTTTCAAGAAGGGACCACAAATGGTCGAGTGTGAAATCAAGACATGGACAAGAGGTTGGAGATGGCTACTTCAGTGAGAGAGCTCGAGGAGGAAAGTATCGCAGCATGGTGAAGTGGTGGTGATACAGTCTAGCTTAACAACAAACCAGAGTGAAGAGTTTGAGAGAAACAAAGCCACACACATATGGTGTCATTGAGCCATCTTGTTGTAGAGATGAAACGCATTTCTCCTGCAAGACAATCAACAGGACTGCCACCTCTGACAAAGTTGGTGGCAATCTTTGAAGGAGGCGTGGGAGACAGGGAGGTTGACGCAGTCAGTGGGAACTAGTCTGAAAACGGATTGCTACGCTCACTAGCCATCTGATTCGCCGTATCTACATATCTGCACTTGCGGTATTTGTAGTCTGCCAGAACCTGTCGAGTATTCACCACATGTCGCTCATTCACTTGAAGGCGCCATTTGAAACCGACAGGTTTGAAAGTGTCGGGACACGCACGTGAGATGTCTGCAACTGGCAACGGGGCAAAGAACCCTCGACCATTGCAGCCTCTGTGGACATTATCGTGTCGGTAGACCAGCTTGTATGAGTGTTCGGTATTCCCTCAAACAACAGCCATCCCTCACCGCCGCGAGTCGTGAAAAGCTTCCTTGAAGGGCGAAGGGTATGCGAGATGACCCATTTGATCCTGACACTGGATGAAGGACACACAAGACCTCAAGTTCGAGGGTGACATCCTCCTCAATCTTCGATTCTCGATGCTCAATAACTGTGGAGTTGGAGCAGCAGGGATACGTGTTCTTGTATCGGCGACGACAAAGTGGATAGCAGATCGGATCCGCTCCCCATGTACCTCACTGATACGAGGGTCCTTATTCGTCGTTCGTATATCCAACAGAATCGCCTCCCTGACCTATGTGCCTACTAGTCTAGGCTCCTCAAAAGGCCAAAGCGTCTCTCCTCTGAGTCAAATGTTCCCGTCCCCTCCGGGTGTGACTCTGACCTGGACAAGTCTCTGGCCGGCTAGCCAGTATCGTCCATAAAACTCTTTTGGCCCCTAATAATTAGTATACAAGTAGATGCGGGTTTTGTTGGAGGGAGAGCCCACGGGACTAGGTAGATGACCTTCGTCTTAGAAGACCTACATGAAACACTTGCGTACATTTCACAGCACAGTTCAATATGTCGACAAGCCCTCAGTGCGGGATTGCCGTATCGACTGTTTCTGCTGATATGTATGTATTTACGTACCTACCAAGCAGGTAGATGGGCGTCGACCAGGGACGATACCTCCATGTAGGCACCGTTTCCAACGTCGTAGAGTTCCCTGAATGGATCGAACGAGCGAGGCAAGGGGCTTTTAGCGTAGGCAGGGGAAATGTACAGTATGGCGAAGCTGGATATCGATGGTCTTTTCTCGTTGAAGCTAGGAGAAACGGGGGACACGATATACAGTGTAATATAGTCGATCGCCCGTCTAGTCTAGTCACCCACGGAAAGGCGTCGGAAGATCTGCGACGATGCAGCCAGAGGGGGAGCCAAGTCGTATCGTCGTCGGATCTCGAATGGGGCATGCATGCATGACGGTATTTGTCAGTCGACTGCACTACTGGCATCAGGGGGAATGGGGTACATACCTAGGCACGATAGGTCTCAAGTACGCCATAGAGACAACGGCGAAAAGGGTAAAGCCACGCGAACGACGGGACTTTATGTCCCAGGTACACTGTGGCCCTCTTATCGAGAGACTGGTTGAAGCCAAACAAATGTTGCACAAGGGATGCCATCACACACTGCATAATCAGGGCTGGCGAATATGCTTGCACACAGGCTGCCACGGTCATGTGAAGGGCTCACTCTCAGTTGAGTCGAGCCCTACCAGTGGGGGGCTGTATGTAGATCTGGAGACTTGTAAGTCAAACCCTGCAAGGGAGTGGGAACAGCAGGATGCTACTCTACCAATGCGACCCAGTTTTCACCCATCCAACAGACGTGCAGGTTCATGGTGTTCGTGTGCGTTCCCCTCCGCCTCCCCGGTATGTCCATATCCTGTACCTCCACTAGGAGCACGATCCAGGAACCCGCGCGGCAGTTTGGCTTTTACGTTCTCGGAGCAAATCATCATGAAGAAGATATCACATGCGTGACTTCGTGCTGATTCCAAGGCATATGATAAGTGAGGACACCTCGTATCCGATAGGGTTCATCTGTAGTCGTGCACAGTGGTACACTGCCGCCGTCAAAAGCCAAGTTGAATTGGGATGAGCAAGGATGAGCAAAGTTTTCGAAGATGGGCCAAAGCGCGGCGAAGGACAGGTACGCAAGTTGTCTGTCCGCCTTCATCGATTAGCACAATCATGCTTGGAGCCATCGCAC